AGAGAGAGAGAGAGAGAGATGTAAAGAGAGAGAGAGAGAGAGAGAGAGAGAGAGAGAGAGAGAGAGAGAGAGAGAGAGATGTAAAGAGAGAGAGAGGCATTGAGAAAACCGCGAAACTGAGGGAAGTAGAGAAATCGAAAAGGCAATGGCGAGTGAAAGACGGAGACAAAAAAGAAAGGAAGAAGTAAACAAACAACCACACACCCAGGCGCGCAAGCACGTGCGCACGTACGCACGCACGCACACACCCGTGTGTGCGTTATGTGCAAATGGGCGTGTGTGCGCGTGCGTTTGTGCGCGGACGCGTGTGTGCGTGTGGTCGTGTGGTCGTGTGTGTACGTACATGTTAGGGGACGTGTGTCATTGTGCATGTCTTCGTTGGTGTGTATACGTGCGTATGTGTATGTGTGTGTGCGTGCGTGCGTGCGTGCGTGCTTGCGCGCGCGCGCGCGTGTGTGAGTGTGTGTGTGTGTGTGTGNGTACATAGGCACAAAATGCATTGTATATATATATTAAATATATATATATAGTATATATATATATATCAAATATATACATATAAATAAATATAGGCCTATATATATATTATATATATATATATATATATATAGTATATTATATATATATAATCAAGATACAGATGTACATGTGTAGGTGTGACTAATGTCATTTGTATAGTAGGCACATAATGTATTTGTATAGTAGCGAATAATGTAATTTGTATAGTGAGCAGCATATGTATTTTGTCAAAGTGGCACATCACGAGTTTAATGCTTCATTATTAAACTGGAACTATATAGCACTTTATTGAGTTTGCAGTTATCACAGAGACCCCCTATGTCTCTATTATCACCTATGTCTCTTATATCACCGTATATGTCTCTATTTCACGCTATGTCTTCTTTATCACCTATGTCTCTATTATCACCTATGTTCTCTAATTATCAGTCCTATGTCTCTATTATCACCTATGTCTCTATTATCACCTATGACTCTACGTCGTAGGCCATTTTGGACTCAGCGATGGCGGCGCAATGTCCTGATACCATTTCAATAAGAGAGTTAGCGCAAGCGAGGTATTCAAACTGCTGAAATAAAGGGTCAGCGCGTCACGCTACTCGACCTATGAATATATGAGCAACCAACCAATGATAAAACGTTGGCGAATGCTTTTGCAAATGCTAAGTAAACCTTCATAAAGGTGTAAAAAGCGGTCACCTGAACTGGCTCGCATACCGCTGGTGTCGTCATTTAAGTCGTCTAATTAAACTTATAGATGGACATCGTTGAATTTACTTCAGGGCTTTAGCCAAGTTCAAATCGAGGGCCGTGTGAGTAGACGCTCCGCCCTAGCGACGAATGTATCTGTACGCTTTCAAATACGACCCTGTTTGCGGCAGATGATCATAAGAACGCTACTGGCAAACAGCTGGCCAGCTACGATGTGCCACAAAGATGACAATCCAGGTGAGGCTGGCTGAATTACGGGTAAAGATATGATATGTTATATACACACGCCTGGATGTACACACACACATACACACGGCGCCACAACGGCACAGACGGCAGCACACACACAGCACGCACAACACAGCACGGCCAGAGCACAACACACAGACACACATACACCACACACAGTCACGTGCACTAAGCAACACACGACACACACACACACACACACAAACACACACACAGTCAACAGCACACACACAGCGCGCGCGCAGCGGGCGCGGCGCACACACACACATACAGCACGACGACACACGCAGCACACGCACACACGCAACACACACAACGCACACCTGTCACAGCAAGGCAGCACACACGCGGCACGCACACACACACAGCAGCGTGCACCGGCGCACAGGCACACGGAGACGGGGCGACCCACCACACACACGCCGGCGTACGCGCGCGGCGCGACTGGCACGCACTGACGCGCGCGCGACACACACACACCCACACACAACACACACAACAACGCAGGCACACACACAACACACTGCAAGGGAGACACGCGAATTGTAATTTTAAAATGGCGAGCCGTAATAAGCTGACTATAGTCGAATATACTTTCAGGTTCTACCAGGTGCAGCAAGAGAAAATGCAGGGTAGTGAGGAGGAGGGTCCGTGTGTGTGTCCAAGAGAGCTACGCGCCATGTCGGGCGGCACTGACGGCCAAAACCTACGCAACCGTTGTCGCATTCCGTTGCGCGCAGAGAACTCGGCCAAGGTATGTATAATATTTTGCTACGCACAGTCAAATTTTAATTTTGTTTATTTGTGTTTCGTAACTTAGGTAGTATTATGCATTTGTACTGGCTCGCAGTTACTGAGGCAGTGGCATTCTCATCACACTTATAAGTGAGTTTTCGCTTTTACTATTATATGCATAAATTAATAGTCATCGGTGTCACAATGTGCGGCCATCAGTTATAAATTTTGACATGAGAATAAGAGGTTTAATATATTACCTATAGCGCTATTTGTAATATTCTCAATTCTTTTGGAAACGAAGGTAACGTTGTCATGTCGTAAGTAAGTTAGTTGTGAAAGTGGCTAGAAAATTGTTCTTGAAACTATTTGCACAACTGCTTCTCATTAAAATCTATATAGGGTGTGTATAGATATACCGATGCAAACATTTTATTTTATTAATCTATATATATATATATATATACACACACACACACATATATATATAGTACTATATTATACATGCGGTGTTTATATGATATTAAATAGTAACTGCATAGAGCTCATCCTCAGCCGCCACAAATTCTGTATTATCAGGTATATCCGTATGATTACGCTTAATTCATTAAATCACATTACTAAAGCGAAAGGACATCGTAGTTACGTGCAATTTTTTTTAAATGTTATAGATCTGCGACTGCGTCATGAGGGACGGTTGTCGTCACGAGCAGCGATGAAGAGATGGTAGGAACAGCAGCCGTCCGAGAGCAATCATTCGAGGTGTTGAAGCGGTTAAGATTTCTAATACTGCGGCTAGATGCAAATTAACGTTGCCCATGAAGATTGAAATGTAGTGGTAGGCAAATAGAGAACTAACGTCTCCCTGTGAGTCGTCGAGAACGCAGAAGATATTCATCTGAAGCGCATGCATTTATCAATCCTATCTGGTGCGTAATATATACTGTTATTCGCGCAGGGGGGGGGGGGGGGGGGGGGGGGGGGGGGGGGGGGGGGGGCGGGGGGGGGGGGGGGGGGGGGGGGGGGGGGGGGGGGGGGGGGGGGGGGGGGGGGGGCGGGGAGGTGGCGGGGGGGGGGGTAACTACGTTTGATAGCTGTTAGCGGGTTTTATGAGTTATCAGGCGTTTTATTGTTATTTGAATTTAAAAAAAATGCTGATATCAAAGTGCGCGCAAAAGCAAGGGTTCCCTGCGTTTAATTTCTTATTATAAGGTAGCAGGCATTAATTAAGGCACAGTTTAACACACCGTCAATATAATTATGCCAGACATCGAGGTATAAATCCAGGAGCCATTTCTACGCGCACGAGCATTTGTATTATAAACCTTCCTATCTGCATAAATCATCACTAAGATATACAGTTTTGTATAAGTAGGTCGCGATTGTATCTATGCGCACGCCGACCCATTTATACAATCCACTCTATTGCTACGTAGCATCCCCGTGAGCGGTATAGCCCATAAATCCGCGGTAATTACGACAAAACGAATGTTTATATTATATATATATATCAATAACTTATTGAAGCCTAGATTACTCCCAGGCGTGACGATTAAGTTAAGATTCAGTTGCAATAAAACAGGCTGTCTTTTACATACGGAGAACAGCTGGGCCCTGTCAAAACAACAAACCTCACAACAAACCAAGCTTGCAAGCTCTGATCGGTAGCACCAATCGGGATTCAAAAGAGGACTATACGTACAAATACATTATCTGCCCATGTCAAAATGCTTCATGTTCCTACAATAATGAAACAGACACTTACCTCGAATTTTCCTGGCAGCGCACCTTATTCTACATGCGATGCTATAGGGGATTCCGTTACTGCCACACACGGGGTCGTATTTCCTCGAACAGAAACACGGATGTTCACAGCGTTGTCCTGCACATACATATATATGCGTACCATAAAAGCCCCCTATATGGGTGTTGTGTCCATGTACGTGTGGTACGTGGTAAATCCGCACGATGTGCATCTCAAATAATCGATAAATGTTATCGATTAAATACTTTGCGACCGGCTACACAAGTTCAATTAAGTAAAAATTTTATTTACGTTTATGACAGAAAAAAAATAGTTCACCTTCATTGTACTTTCCAATCGATCATATTCACGAAAGGCGAGCTATTTACGACTGGGGAACATTTTGGTAGACATCCAAATTACTGGATTACAAATTTTGTAAGCGTTGGAAGTGATTATAAATTTTTAATTCGATGAAAATAATTTTCTCATAAGAATTCAATACGTAGTTAATCTTAGTTGATGTGATTCTAATCGAATATTTCCGTGAGCACTTAATGGGATATTCATCTCAACATACCTCGGCAGTGCCCTCTACCGAATGCCTGTGACTGGGCATCAACGGTGAGTGCAAGACAGAGTAGGACTACCACCGCTAGCTTTATCATCACTGTATAGGTACCTGTCGGGAAATAACACTCAGTTATAGATCAGTATATAGTTAGTTATATATCAGTATATAGTTAGTTATATATCAGTATATAGTTAGTTATATATCAGTATATAGTTAGTTATATAGCAGTATATAGTTAGTTATATAGCAGTATATAGCTAGTTATATATCAGTATATAGTTAGTTATATATCAGTATATAGTTAGTTATACATCAGTATATAGTTAGTTATATAGCAGTATATAGTTAGTTATATATCAGTATATAGTTAGTTATACATCAGTATATAGTTAGTTATATATCAGTATTAGCAAGTTATATATCAGTATATAGT